AGGGAGGGAGAAGGGAACTGGGATTGTCGTGTAATTCAATCTTGTTTCTAATTCAAATTAAAAAAGTAAAAAAAAAAAAAGGCTCAGGAAAACTTTACACACTGAAGTGTTTCTTGAGGTAAGGAAGAAAACCGACATCACTGCTAACATTCAGGCATCACCACTGCTGTTTGGGGACTTTATGGAACGTGCTAGAGTCCTGGGTTTCAGCAAAGCTTGGCTATCACTTGGCTACTTTCTCCTGACATACACCCATTTAACTCAATGAAATCAACTTTAACAGTCCTGTGGCTTAGCCCATTCCTACTTCTTTCCCCTTCTTTTGAGGTTCTTTTCTTGAGACAACTCTCCAATCTAGGGTTGGATTCATGGTGATATGATGTGAGAATTATGAATAGATACACACAGTCCAGGAAATAAATTGTCACTGAAGCTAAAGCAATGCGAACTGTAGGACAGAGGAAGTAACTGTGTGTTTTGATCAGAACTATAAGGCTTTAACCTACATAATTGCTATGAGAATTATAATTCACCAGTGACTGATCCATTGTTGACCTAAACACATTTGGGAATAAATGTATCAGGCACTTCTTGCATGCAATAAAGACAAATATCTGAACCAAATTTTACTGAAATTTTGGCTGTTATCCCAATATATTAATAGAACAATGTATTCTAAATGCTTGGACTGCTTGCAGCAAATCCAGAGGGTGCCCTTTCCCCCAATTTCTTATAGGTAGGATCTGACATATCTGGAGAAAAGGATGGGGGTATTTTCTGTGCTCATCCTGTATTCTATTCTCACCTTGAGACAAAAATATGGTGGAGAGAATGAAGATTCCCAACAGAGACAGGAAAATCAGTTGGGTTATTCTGCGCCCCATGTGGTTCATTGAAAAATTTCCAAGAGCATTGGCTGGAATGGCTATCACACCATAGAGACACTGGAGCAGGAACACATTGCTGCTCAGGTGCTGCAGGTGGATAAACATGCCCATAATAGGTATCAATGACATAAATCTGTATCGAACAAAGAGAAAAGCTGTGTTATAAGGTTTGGAGTGGTTGCTCAACACATGGTGGCACAGTTATCTCAGGCAGCTCCTTTTAGTTGTTAAAATATTGAGGCAAATGTTTTCTGGAAAATTTACACGTGGGAAATAATTTTGTAATCACAAAACATTCTATGATGAAGGAAACATATCATCAATCTTAAATTTTGTTTTTAAGGGGTGAGGGAATTCTTGCGATACAAGCTGGGTCCATCCAGGGTTTTCAAGTTTTTCTTATATCTTGATATGAATGAAAGTTCTAGCTTTACATCTTTATTTAGCTACTGATATGTACACAGTTATGTAGTTGATGTTTGAAGTTTTATGTCCTTTGAAATGAAAACAGACAAACGATGAAGCTTAGGTTCTAAGTTTTTCCATGACTGAAGTTCTGAGCAACAGTTTCTGGTAATGAACTTGTCAGAGTGATTGGATAAACACTGTATTAGTATAATCCAAATCCTTTGGATTCCCCAAATATAAAAATGTCTCATCATTTATCTTCAACTCTGTTAATAAGAAGATTCATGTCTACACTATTTTTTGAGACAGGGTTTTGATATGTAGCTTTGGCTGGCCTTGAACTCTGTATGTAGACCAGGCTGGTTTCAAACGCATAGAGTTCTGCCTACATCTGCCTCCTGAGTGTGGGATTAAAAGCACAAGCCACCACAACACCATTTTCAGAGTATCTGTGTGAAGCCCACCTCATAAGGCACAGGATGCAGATGCGCTTACGTAGGCTGGGTGTACGGAACAAGTCCAACACGGAATGTTTTGTCTGTGCTGCTTCCAGTTCCTCTTTCATGGCGTTTCTCACAACCTTCAAACAACATCAGCAAACCGTTGTCACAAAATGATAAACGTTGTGAGGCATGCTGGTAACCTATAGAAGATTAGGCCGCTAACTACTGTTTCTGTCTAGTGAACAGTATATAGACATCAAGAAAATACTGGCAGGCATAGAAGGGATGAGAAATGTGAGCCCAGGAGTGAAAGGAAACTCAGGCATTTCTGTTGTGGGAATTTGGTCCCATAATGGTATTGGGGACAAGGGCTTGGCCCAATGGGTGTGGTCTTCTCTGGAGGCACGTGACCCAATAACATTCAGAGAGAAGAGGATAATAGGATCACAAGGTCTTGGGTGTAGGCGAATTGGCGGTGAGCCATTTGGGAAAGGGGTTATTGCACAGTGACAAAGAGCTGGCTCCCCAGCCGGAAGGGCAGAGAGGCTGGTGATACAACCCAGATTCCTCCTTCTGCTTGTAATCACCATGCACGGACTTGATATTAATAAATGGTAAAACAATTGCCAGGATTCCCGAATTACATTTCTACAGTGAGGATATGTTAAACAGGAGACTATAGTTGGGTGTAGATTATTGAAAGGTAGGTATAGGTTAGAGATACAGATTAGGAAGGAAAACAAGTGAAGAGTTATTTAGAGTACGGTCCCAAATTCCACATACAGCAGATGAATTTGCATGACATGGCATCTGAGCTTGATGCTCCACTGATAACTTAAAAATGTTTTTTGAAATAAAAATACAATTACATGATTTCATCCTTTCTTTTCCTCCCTCCATCCCATCCTATGCAACCCACCCTGCTCTCTCTCAAATATATGGCTTCTATTTCTTTAATTACTGCTACACACACACACACACACACACACACACACACACACACACACACACCTCTAAATAAATGAATATGATCTGCTTAGTCTGTATAATGTTATTTGTGTATATATGATTCCAGGAATGATAACTTGGCACTAGAAAACCAATTTCTGCCTCTTCCCTAGGGAATGCTCTTGCTCTCAGCATTCCCTTAGTTGCTGCAATTTTTTCTTTGTGGTTGAGGCTCCATGGAATTTTCCCTTTCCATTGGCAGAAAGGCTGTAAGAGCAAGAGGACCAGAAAATTTGCCATGAGATTTTTGTCTTTTAGATATGTCAGAGAAACTACATGCATGAAGTTTCATCAATGTGGTTGCTCTAACAAAATATGAACAAGGGTGACACAATATACATGCTAACTCAGAAGCGCAAAGCCATTGATTTTTTAATGATTGAAAAAATAAGACTAATAAACTCCTAGTCATGTTAATGAAAAGAAAGAGATAAAGTCTGAATTAATAAAGTTAGAGATAAAAAGACACTAAACAAATGCTATAAAACAGAAAATCATAAAGACACAACATAAAACCAATATATCACCAAATTATAGAATATTAAAAATAGGGGCGTTGGTAGACCATTGCATGAATTTTAATCCCAGCACTCGGGAGGCAGAGGCAGGAGGATCTCTGTGAGTTCGAGGCCAGCCTGGTCTCCAGAGCGAGTGCCAGGATAGGCTCCAAAGCTACACAGAGAAACCCTGTCTCAAAAAACAAACAAAAAATAGATGAACTTATAGATGCATATTGCCTAACAAAATTAAAGCAAGATAAAATGAATAGTTTAAACAGATACATAAACTGCCAAGATTCAATGGAGTCACTGTAGAATTCCCAATATTCAAAGAAAAACTGACACCAACATTGTTCAAATTATTCCACAAAATAGAAGAGAAAGAAAGGCTCAACATCTTTTTTTTTTTTTTTTTAATGAAGCCAGTATGACCCTTATGCCAAAAGTGTCTCTACAAAACAAAACGTTTTAATTCTGGCAAATAAAATTTTGAAAAACCATCGTGTTCAAGTTGACTTCAGAGATTCAGTTCCAACATAGGTAAACTAATAAATGTAATCAATTACATAAATGGACTCAAGACAGAAATCACGTAGCTATCTTAATAGATGCAGAAAAACATTCAATAAAACCCACCATCCCTTCAGGATGGAAAGGTAGCAGCGGCTAGGAATGGATGGGCTGTACCTCGACATAGTAAAGGTTACAAGTTACAAACCTGCAGATGACTCTGTTGGTTTCTTTTCTGTCATTATGATAAATACCCCGACAACTCAAGAGAGATTATGTTCTCTCAGAGGGTCAGAAACCTTCATGGTAAGGAAGACATGGTATAAATCAGGGGAGGCATGAGCAGGAAACTGGATGAGCCTACTGTACCTGGACACAGGAAGCAAAGACAGAGCAGCCAGTGTGACCAATCTCTAAAGTCTCAAAGGCCACCACCAGTGGCTCACTTCCTTCACCTACATGTTTCATAACCTTCATGAATATCGCCACCAGCTGGGGATCAAGTATCGGGCCACAAGGACCTATAGGGGCATTTTGTATTGAAACCACAACAACTTGCCCCTTGCTCCCACAAGCTTATGACCAGCTTCATGATGCAAAATTCATTTACTACGACTTCAAAAATCCCCATAGTCTTTAACAGTCCCAACATTGTTCAACAGTTTAAAGCTTCTTCTGGGACTCCAGGCAATCCCTTACCTGTGGCCACCTGCAGAAACAAAAACATTACATACCAGCATAATAGCACACGGTATGTATTTCCATTCCAAAAGATAAGAATGGGGGCATAGTGAGGAAATAATTGACCAAAACAGGACCAAACCCAGCAGGAAAGTCCTATAGCTCCATGTCCAATGTCTGGGACTTTACTTTTAAAGGGGTTAGATATCTCCAGCTATATAATTTTTGTCACACATAACTTCTATCTTAAGTTCCACTCAGTGCATGTGGCTTTTGTTGGTAACCATCCCACAGTTCAGATACAGTCACCTCAATTTAGTTTCACCTCCACAAATTCATGCAACGGTCTGTCTCAGTGACTCCAACTCTGCCACATAATTGCCTGGCTTCCTCTAATACCTATAACTGTGGAACAAAACTCCATGAACTATTCTATCTTACATTCTTAACACTTGCAGAGTCAACACTATGTGGGTCATGCTGCCAAGTACTGTTACCAGCTAAGGATGAACCCTGGCCTTCTCCAAGTACTGTTACCAGCTAAGGATGAACCCTGGCCTTCTCCAAGTACTGTTACCAGCTAAGGATGAACCCTGGCCTTCTCCAAGTACTGTTACCAGCTAAGGATGAACCCTGGCCTTCTTGGACCACATTTGTTTCTGCATCCTTATGTTCATCTCAGGGAAATAGATTACTAGGTAGTTGCTTTTAAGGAACAGGGAATCCTATCAACTGTGTCATCAGCTCATGCTTTGCATTTTTAAATAAGTTTGAATTTTCTCAAGTGGGAGTCTATGATATGTAGGGTCTTGCCCCCAGGGCAGATACAACAGGGTGTTGCTGAACGATCTTGGCTTCTTTTTCAGAACATGCATTCGTTGCAAAGTTTAAGTTTCTTGATTTCTTTGCTTCTTGGCAAACTTCTCATTTTTTCTTTTTTTTCCCACTGTAGACCCACTGTAATGCAGTAAAGACTAGTCATACAATATTCTGGAATAGTCTCCTGTTTTAAAATTTTTTCCATCAAATACACTCATTCATTATCTTTAAGTTTCATTTAACACAAATTCTCAGGATATGGGCAGAATGAAGCCAGTCTTGGCAAAATTAATCACATGAATGGCAATTATCCTCTTTCTGAATATAGTTATTGTCCACTTCTGAAAACTCATGAGTCTGACTCCACTGTCCATGTGTCTTTCAACATTCTTGTTTCTCAAGTCCCACCAGAATGGCCGGTTGATCTCCTCGTACTATTTTCTGTATCACTTACTTTTCCTGTTGCTCTGACAAGACACTCTGACAAAATAAAGGTAAGACAATCGGGTTATCTCGACTCAGTTTGAGGGTATGATCTTTTATGATGGGAAAATCACGGCAGCAGGAAATTGCCAAGGCATCTATCTGATCATACCTCATCTGCACGTGAGAAGCAGAGAGTAATGACTGTGCGTGCTCAGCTGGATTCCTTCATTTTATGTAACTGGGGACCCAAGTCCTAGGAAATGTTGCTGCCAGTATTTGGATGTTCTCCTGCTTCAGTTAAACTAATGGAGATAATCCCAAGATCAATTATTCCAAGAGGCTAACCTAATCAAAATTGTCAAACACAGGTATGTTTGGGAACTTATCTCCTAGGATATTCTAGAGATTTTCAAGTTTACAATCAATACTAACAATCACACAATTCCATCTAAATTTCCTGACAGAACTAATGCTAAGGACCTACTACTAAGTACACTATTTGCTTTGGTTGCAGGATGTAGAGAAATCAAGGTAGAACCAATCTGGAAACCCTGCTGGCAAGCTTTCAGCGTTAGAAGGTACTATGTATGTTACTCTGGAGAGATGTCATAATTCTACTCAGCTGAGGACTTTTGGGCTGCATGACTGATCCTTGTTTGGCAAATTGTACTCACAGTGGACCAGTGGTATCACTGTTAAAGTGGTAACCAGTATTTGAGGTCTGCCCACAGGAGGGAATTTACATTGGCGCTTTAAACTCCATCAAAACCCGGTAACTATAGATGTCACAGTCCTTAGGGTGGAACCTACTATAGTCATTTTGCTAGATAGAGATGGTATTCCAATTGAATTGCCTTCCAAATATTTTTGTTAATTTCTCTAGATTAACGCTTTGGTTAGGGAAGCTTCTTTTTCTGTAGTTGGTGACAATTACTGATCAATGTGCTGAGAATAAGCTACTCAGCCATAAATGGGATATCTATATACATCTTCCAAAGTTCACAGAACATTGTGAAAGTGGGGAAAGAGAGAAGGAAAGAGCAGTGGAAAGGGTAGAGTGATGCATAGTCTTGTCTTCTGGTCTTGGCATGGCCAAGATTTTAAACTGCAAGGGGTTGGGCCCAGCAACTTCCATGATGGCGAGTAGAGGAGTTGATGAAACCCTGCTGTGGTGATATATTATTTATGATTTATTAAAGCTTGCCTGAGGATTCAGAACAGCAAAGTCACCATCAAGCTATAGAGATCAGGCAGTGGTGATACACACCTTTAATCCCAGCAGCCAGAAGCTAGGAGGTGGTGGTGGTGGGGGTACACACCTTTAATCCTAGGACTCAGGATTAAGAGGTAGACAGATCTCTGTGAGTTCAAGGCCACCAAGGGGTGCATGAGATTGAATCAGTCTAAAAGAGTAACAGATCAAATGCCTTTAGTCCCAGAACTAGAGAGGTATAAAACATAGAAGCAGGGACTTCAGTAGCCAGTAGGTGGTACTCATTCAGTCTCCAGCCATGCTGAGGAGAGATTATGGTCTAAGGCTTAGCCTCTGACCTGGTCAGAGCTCGTGGAGACAGGATCAGCCCATTCAGCCTGAGGTAGAGGTATAAAGCTAGTGGCTGGCTGCTTTGCTTTTCTGAACTTCAGCTTAAAGTTTGAACCCCAATACCAGTCTCTGTGTCTTTTATTTATTCGTGTTACACCCTGCCTGTCCTGGAGGATTTATAGGAAGTTAGCTACTGCTAATTAGGAAAGGCTCATAAATCCTTCCTGAGGATGCATAGGGAGTTCATCAGTTAATGGTTGCTGGGAGAAGAAAAGCCATTTTCTTCAGTGGTGTAGCTATGTGTTGTTGCCCAAGCTATTGTAATTAAATCTTCACAGTTCAAAATGTTTCTGTAAGAAACTTGAATTAAAATGTTTGTTTAGAAATAGAGAGAGACACAGAGAGATATTAGAGTAGAAGCAGGACTAATTGGAAAGAGGAAGGAATCAGCAGAATTGTGAGGGGATGAAAATGGAGTTGGCACGATGAAAAATGACAAACATACACTATGTACATGTATGAAGCTGTCAAAATGAAAACCAATACAACATATAACCAATATATTCCAATAAAAAGTAAAAAAAATGAAATCCCATGAAGAAGGTTCTAAAAATTGAATTTGCCCTAGTTTGCTTTTTATTGCTGTGATAAAAACCATAACCAAAAGCAACTTGGGAAGGAAAAGGTTAATTTCATCTCATAGCTTACAGTATACCATGGTGGGAGGTCAGGGTGGGAACTGGAGGCAGGAACTTGGAAAAGAAAAGGTCATGAGGAATGCTGCTTACTGGCTGGCTCTCTTTGGTTCTCTCAGCTTGCTTGTGACACTCCCACAGAGGGCTACATCCTCCCACACCAATCACTGATCAAGAAAAGGCCCTATAGATGTACCTACAGGCCAATCTGATGGAGGCATTTTCTCACTGCAGAGTTCCTCTTCCCAGATGACCTTAGCTTGTATTGACAAAAAAAAAAAAAAAAAGTAAGCAGCACAGAATTCAAGAAACAAAATGAAACAGATGTGATTTTAATTTTTCTTTTTTCTTTTTCAAGACAGGGTTTCTCTGCATAGTCCTGGTCATTCTGGAACTCGCTCTATAGACCAGGTTAGCCTCAAACTCAGAGATTCTCCTGCCTCTGCCTCCCAAGTGCTGGGGTTAAAGGCATGTGCCACCACTGCCACTGTGATTTTAATTCTGTTTGAATGAAACATCCTTATGAAGTGTTTTAGTGACCACACATTGCATCTCAGGCACTAACATGAGTACATGTCAAACTTGTGTTTTCTTGCGTCATAATAAGCTCCCATTATGCTCACCTCCATGGTTAGGACATCTCTAGAACTCTGCTTTCCATTCTTGCATGCAGCCCTTTGAAGCTCCTTTAAGCCCTTCTGGGGTTTGTTGGTCATAATCAGCCACCGAGCTGACTCTGACAGCCACCTACTCAAAATGATGGAAGTGAGTCAATTCTCAAGCAGTCATTTCAAAACCACATTTATCCTTGAACAATTATATTCTTTGATTTAATACCTACCACTTATTATATTAATAAATATAATCTTACACTGTCCAGACCTACACTAGAAAAATGGAAAATGACTAGTGTATATATTATACTTCCAGAATGCAGGCCTGGAGTTATGTTAGCCTGCTCACTCTTACTTAAATATGTATTTATATGAAGTTCACAGAACTGCAACATGAAGGATACTTGTATATAGACATTTTCCAAATTCCTTGTTAAGGTGAACATTTATTCTTACTTCGTTCTTTTCCTAAAATACGAACCACTGGATAAATTCTGTACACTAATTCTATCATCCAAAGTGTAACCATTTATACGCCTAGCAACTACTGCTTTCTGGCCACAAAAACAAGTCAACTCTACCTTCATTGCTAATCCATAAACCGGGGACAGAAGTTCTATAATTTTTTTTCTGTTTTCCTTTGAGACAGGGTTTTTCTGTGTAGCCTTGACCGCCCTGGTACTCAATTTGTAGACCAGGTTGGCCTCAAGCTTGAAGAGATCCTCCTGCCTCTGCCTCCCAAGTGCTTGGATTAAAGGTGTGTGCCACCACTACCCAGGTATAGCAGCATCACAATTTTGATGGCTATGCTGTGAGGATAAAATGATTTGGAAGAGCCTGCTAGAGAGTTCTCCCTCTTTTCTGTGTGGATTGTGGATTCATCTCACTATGTTAGTCTATAAACTTTTAATGGTCTTTCCAGATCAAACATGCCTCCTTTGTTGATAGCAGCATAGCACGTCTTAATTCTCTTTTTAAAATGGAAAACAAAGAATCCAAAGAGCCAGTGAGAGAAGTAAGTCATTCTGCCTACAGCTTTAAAGTGGAGAAGCCATGATTTTCCTTCATTGAACAGTTGTGAAGATAAACTTACTTTATATGCCTTTTATTAATATCAAAGTTACCATAATTTTCAAAGCATATTTTTGCTTGCAAAATCACTCATAGAAATACAAACCACAACAGAGACAATATGATCTTGAAATGTTGTGTGTTTTACCCAGCTATTAAACAAAAACGCAGAACCAACAGGTAAACAGAATTTTCAAATAAAGAATGAGTATTTGTCAGAAAATGAGGGTCTTTTGCTATACATATGTATGATTATGATTTTATAAAACTACTTATTACTTATCTTGAATTCAGCCTCTGCAGTTTTATCTGACAGAGCTGCTTGTCCTTATGTCACATAAGTACAAAGAGGAGTGCACATTCCTGCTTTGTGTAGACCAAACACAAATGCATTTCTTATGTCCTGATTCCATGTACATGGTCATCCCTGGATTCTATAACAGAAGAGGAAAGAAATCTCATACCTTGCGGGAATAAGGAAGAAGAACATTGGTATAGCCATTGCCAGCTGGAGGTGATGCCAGTTTCGAATAGCGAAAGCCAGGCTTCCCAATATTACCTGTCCAATACCCCCAGCAGCAAATGCCAGTGTCATTACCAAACTTTGGAATTTAGGGCTTGTCCATTCTACTACTGAAAGAAAAGAAAATGAAGTTTGACTTTTAAGAAAGCTGGGAAGGACATCTAGGTCAAACCCAAAGCTTGTACAATGTCTATGAAAAGCTTTGACTTACTGAGCAAAACGCTGTTAGTCCTAATGGATGAGGAAGAAATCCCAGCCAGGAAGCGACATGAGCAGTAGATGAGGAAGTTGGGAGCGAAAGCTGCACAGGTTTCAGTGATGGTCATCTGTAGTAAAGCACCCGTGAAAACAAACTTCCTCCCAAACCTGAGCAAAAGGAAGGGTTTGGTTATGGGAACAATAAGAGTTTGCATAAACAACAAAGATAGGAAGCACCTTGAAATAATAAACGATCAAAAAATTAAAAAGGGCAGATATCCTTTACAGCAAAGAGTTTCTTTCCGACCTCTTTCTTTTTTAGATGGGTCTTACAATGTAGTCCTTGCCAGCCTGGAATTTACTATGACTCAAGGCTGGCTTCAAACTCTGAGAGATCTGCCTACCTCTGCCTTCCACGTGCTGGGATTTAATGTGTGCACCTCCACATCGGCTCTTTTTGATTTTTCTTTTTTCCTTTATTGACTTTTCAAGACAGGGGCTTTTCTGTGTTGCCTTGGCTGTCCTGGAACTCACTCTGTAGACCAGGTTAGCCTCGAATTCATAAAGATCCGCCTGCCTCTGCTTCCCAAGTGCTGGGATTAAAGGTGTGCACCACCACCGCCTGGCTCTTCCACTAGTTTTATATGAGTTAAGCCATTTATGACAGTCTACAAACCTGGAACTTTAACACAAGTATGTCATACTAAATTATACATGTAACATACCTATTAGCTATTTATTTAATCATGGTGACAACATATCTGATGGAAGCTACTTAGGGGAAAGATTTATTTGGGCTCACAGCTTCTGAGGGTGCCATCCTCCATAGTGAGAATCAATGGTGTCAGCAACAGGAGACAGAGTTCCTCCCTTGGAGTCCAAACCAATTATAATTCACATGGAAACCAAAGTGTGTACCTCCTTCAACACAACCACAAGCAACCCAATTCTGCCAATCGAGTCCCACACTCTAAAGTCTCATAACTTTCCAAAGATTGACCCTCAGCTATGGAACAAAGTATTCAAATACACACACCTATGGCTCAAAAGATTTAAATTTAAAAGAGAATATATTAAATGAGAATGAATCACTTTCATACAAGTGCTTATATACAATCTTTTGATTATTGATTCTACAGAATCTATTGATTATTCCTATGAAGGAAGGTTTTTGCATTCAGTGTCTTAGAATTTACATTCTTGGATTTGTATATTGATATTTACATAACATATCTTTCAAAAAGCCCTTCTTTCCCACTGTCCTCCTTCTTATACTCCCACAATGCATATTTTTGGCCAGCTTGCTGTTGTCTCATAAGTTCATTGAATGCTAGTAATTTGTAAATCTATCTTCTGACTTCTTAATTTTGTCGGTTTTACTGTTCTGTTTCTCTTCTCTAATTCATTATTGTATTAGTGTTATCTTCTACTAAATGTCTGTAGGAAAAATTTTGATTTCTTGCATTTTTAAAATCCAGATTTCTATTTTGTTCTTTTATGTACTTTCTATTACTGATGTACCTGTACACTAGTTTCCTAATTGTCATTAATACTTTGCCCATGTTCTATTTTCATCCTTTTTTATATATTTAAGATATGTCTTTTAAAGTATCTATCTAGTAAATCTCCCACAGAAACCATTCCTAGTGTGTTTCATTTTGAATAGGCTATACTTCTTTTTTGTTTTCATATTTATTACTTTATTATTCTTGGAAAAATTCATATTTGATTGTTGTAATGTGGAAATTTGGAATTCAGATTCTTACTTTTGCAAAGAATGTTCTTTCTTTATTTTTGAAGTATAGTGGCCTGGAACTTTTATGACTTTACCAAAATGTTGCAAAGACAGTTCCTTTGTCCTGTGTTGTCACTGAAGTCTTAAATTTCTTTATAACATGCTGTCTAAAGTTTTTATGCATATTTCTTGGAATGCCTGGACAGCTTCAAATTTTGGTGGTAGACTGGCATTTGGCAGGATACTCCATGAGGATGAAACTTACCTTTCTCTAATATTAGAACTAGTTTGATGTATAAGCTTAAGATCTCCATGTTGTTTAAGGATGTGTAGCACCACTAGTTATACAATACTGTTCTATTTTCACACATGTCTGCTGGATGAATTAAAAATAGGATGATAGAGTAAATGCAACCATATCAGAAAAATACCCAATGTGAAAAGGCTAAAAATCTCAATGAAAAAAATAGAGATAATGAGAATGAATTAAAGATAAAGACCTAGGTGTGAACTGGTTCTGTGAATAGATGAAATAATATTGTCAATTAACATATTCTATTCAAGAAAGAGATGGTTGAAGAGGCTATATTCATATTGGACAGAAATACATTCTAGAAGAACTATTTATCATAGTTCTGTGGTATCCATCTGTAATTCTATAACTTGGTAAACTGAGGCAACAGGATCATGATTTGAATGTTACTCTAGCACACAAAGAATTTGAGGCCAGTGTGGATTAGTAAGACATTATTAGGAGTTTTGTTTGCAATAGTCTTGTTTCTCATGCTGCCAAGGTATAGGAATTCACAGCAGTCCAGGCAGAACAATCAGTCATAGTTTATTTTTCATCAGGAGAGTGAGCAAGAGCACAAAGTCTACTCCAGAGTAGACAGCCAAATGAGCTAAGTGACAACAAAGCTTTCCTCTAATATCTGAGTTTGTACATCTGTGTCTATCAGATGTATTCCCCTTGTCACTTTCTAGTGTTCTCAATTCCCCCAATAAACAGACACACAACTAGCATACTGGATTAGAAAATAGGATGTATCTTTTTGCTGTTCCCCCCAAAACACATCTTATCACCAAGGATAGACATCACTTCAGGATAAAAGGATGGGAAAAGGTATTACAAGCAAATGGATCCAAGAAACAAGCAAGTGTAGCAATTTTAATATCTGACCAAATAGATTTCAAACCAAAGTTAATCTGAAGAGATAGGGAAGGACACTATCTATTCACCAAAGGGGAAAAATCCACCAAAAGATATTGCAATTATAAATATTTATGCACCAAATACAAGGATACCCAAGTTCATAAAAGAAAAACTATTACAGTTAAAATCACATATTGACCCTCACACACTGATAGCAGGTGACTACAATAACCCACTTGCACCAATAAACAGGGAATCCAAACAAAAACTAAACAGAGAAATGTAGTTAAAAGCTATAATTAATCAAATGGATATCTATAGAACATTTTACTCCAAAAAGAACTTTACAAACTCATGGAAACTGAACAAGTCACCACTGAATGAAAGAATGAATGAATGAATGGGTCAAGACAGAAATCAGTGAGGACACTGTTAGCACAGGCACTAAGAACTACAATTAATAAATGGGACCTCATGAAACTAAAAAGTTTCAGTATAGCAAAGGATACCGCCATTCATGTAAAGTAGCAGCTTACATAATAGAAAAAACTCTATCAATTACACATTTGATAGAGGATTAATATCAAAATATATAAAGAACTAAAAAAACTGAACACCAACAAACAGAAACCCAATTAAAAATGGGGTACAGAACTAAGCAGAGAGTTCTCAAAACTCAAAGCACATTATGGCTAAGAAACAAAAGAAACGTTCAACATCCTTAGGCATCAGGAAAATGAAAATCAAAATTATTTTGGAATTTTACCTTACACCAGTCAGAATGGCCAAGATCAGCAAGCAGCTCATGCTGGAGAGGATGAAGAGTAAAGGGAGAACGCTCATGCATTGCTGGTGAGACTGCAAATTTGTACAGTCACAGTGGGAATCAGTGTGGTAGTTCCTTGGGAAGCTGGGAACAGAATTACCTCAAAATACAGCTATACCACTCTGGGGTATATACCCAAAGGACTCTACATCCTACTACAGAGATACTTGCTCACCCATGTTCATTGCTGCTCTGTTCATAATAGCCATAAATTGGAAACAGCCTAGATGCCCATCAGCTGAAGAACAGATAAAGAAAATGTGGTACATTTATACAATGTACTACTATTTAGCTGCTAAGAAAAATGAAATTATAAAATTCTAGGTAAATGGATGGAGCTAGAAAACAAAATCCCAAGTAAAGTAACCAAGACCCAAAGAGACAAATAGTGTATATTTTCTTTTATGAGTGTGTGTCTAAGTTAATGTTCTATTGCTGTGAAGAGATGTTGTGACAACAGCAACTCTTTTTTGTTAGTTTTTTATTTTTCATATATTTGAATTATAAACAAGATTGAATTACATGACAATTCCAGTTCCCTTCTCCCTCCCTTGCTCCCCTACCACCCCCCAACTAAAATCCTACCTATCATATGTCCTTTCTTCTAATCTACACCTGACTCAATCTTTCTGCTCCCTCATGACCTCTGCATCCTTCCTTTTCTTCCCTTCTCACTCTCGTAGTTTCCTCCCCCCTCTTCCCATGTTCTTAATTTGCTCAGGGCATGGTGACCCTTTCCCCTTCTCCAGGGGACAAAGTTTGTCTCTTTTTAGGGTCCTCCTTGTTTGCCAGTTTCTCTGGCAGTGTGGATTGTAGGCTGGTAATCCCTTACTCTATGTCTAAAATCCACATATGAGTGAGTACATATCATGTTTGTCTTTTTGTGATTGGGTTACCTCGCTCAGAATGGTTTCTTCGAGTTCCATCCATTTTTCTGCAAATTTCAAGATTCCATTGTTTTTTTTTCTGCTGAGTAGTACTTTATTGTGTAAATATACCATATTTTCTCCATCCATTCTTCGGTTGAGGGGCATCTAGGCTGCTTCCAGTTTCTGGCTATTACAGATAGTGGACAACAGCAACTCTTATAAAAGAAAACATTTAATTGGGGCTTGCTTACAGGTTCAAAGGTTTAGTCCATTATCATCATGGTGGGAAGCGTGGTGGCCTGCAGGTAGACATTATGCTGGAGAGATAGCTGAAAGTTTAACATTGGATTGGAAGAGTGATAGGCACTGGTCCTCACTTGAGCATTTGAAACCTCAAAACTCACCTCCAGTGACACACTTCCTCCAATAAAGACTACTTATATTCCAACAAGGCAACGCCTACTTATAGTGCTACCAAACATTCAAATCTATGACCCCATGGAGACCATTCATATTCTAACCACAATGTGGATGTTAGCTTTCAAGATTTTTCATGTGTATGACAATCTCAGTAACCACAGAGTACATAGTAAGGACTAGGGAGGAAGGCAAAATAGGATATATTGTTATGGAGAGACAAAAGGCAAATTGTAATAGGAGGATTAAAGAGAGAAAGTGAGGAGAGAGAAAGGCAAAGGAGGGATTACGGGGAAAGACAACCAACACTAAAGGGCATTTGAAAAACCATATGGAACCCTATGTTCTCAAAAACCAAGGAAAATGTCCAAAGTCAAGAAGGGGTTACATTTTGTTGAGTATTGGCAAAAGGATCCCATGGAAACCCCCAAACATCACAGACTATTGCCAAGGTTATTGGTTACTCTCCACAACCCGATGGTAAGACCCTATGTGTTACTGAAGGCTACACTTACATATGTCAGTGAACATGGAGAAGTCAAAGCAGTGCCTAACTAGAAAGTTCACCCCTATGGATTACCATTCATAGTACTAGAAGGTTCTCTGGATGTTACCCAAGAAGAAAGGCAATCAGTAATAGCTCCCAGCTATAAATCCTATAATCTGTGACAATGGCCTGCCTGCAAGATGTTCTGGTGCAACAAAGACTTAAATGTTAAGGGAGTCATCAACTACTTTCTGATTGAATTTAAGGACCACTCTTGGAACCCATACCCAAGAATACTAAAGTGGCCAAGAACCCCAGACTAGGAAGGTCATGAGAACTTACTACTATTTTTCTGCTAAAGGAATATAGCAATAAAATGTTGCCTACGGGCATACTGCTAAGCCCATAGGTCAGTACATTGCTCAGTTATCATGATAGAAGGTATTTCTTGCAACAGATAGGAATTAACACAGAGACCCACAACTGGACAATGTGCAGAGAGTGAGAGACTTTGGAGCTCTCATTCCTAAATGGGATGTTTTCATCTCTTACCCTAGGGATCAGAAAACTGTGTGGAAGAGGTGCAAAGACTGTAAGACCCAGAGGGGAGGGAGGGATTTCTGTAAGAAGACTTCTTCCAGACACAAAAGGATTGATGCACATATGAACTCACCAAGACTCTCAGCATGCACAAGACATACATAGACTCAAGCCAGACAAGGTCCCAGCACTGAGAGGGGGAGGGGGACACAGGCTCTCACCTCTAATCAAGAAGCTATCTGAAATTTATACTCACATGTGTAGGAAAAGTACGTTTTTGCCAATGGAGTCTGATTGAGTATATTGGACACACTCAGGGTAGGTCCCAGGCCCAGGAGTAGTTGGCCAACACAAATAAACTTTGTTGACTTTTGATATCATTTTCATTTGTCTAGACCTTTTTTTGTCTCATTGGTCTTTTGCTTGTTTTGATTTCTGCTTTTGTGCTTTTTGGGTTTTGTTTGTGTATGTGTTTCTTGGGGTTTTTTTTGTATTCTTGTTTGTTTTAAAATGAAAGAGAGAGGAAAAAATAACCTAAAGTTGGATGGGTAGGGAAAATCTTGGAGGAATGGGGAAGGGGGCAAACATGATAAAAATATATTGTATGAAAAATTTCTTTTCAATTAAAAAAAAGAAATCCACTTTGGCAGAAGCAAAACTGAAAACAACAGGCATGGTTTTGCTGCACACCCATTGTACCTTTTACCGTATGCCCCGGGAACCCACTGTCATGCTTGAGGAATTAAAGTGTACTTTCTGTTCTCTTGTCGCCATGATTGTTTAGGGCAATGTCTGAGAAGCATGGGGTCTAGTAACCTAAACCAAGAGTGACAATGGTGTTTTCCACTAAATATTTTATTACAGTATTCAAATACGGTCAGTTCTATCTGGTGAAACATGTTTGTCTCATCCCCATAGCTACCTTCTTATCATTCTAAATCATGTTGTTTCACCTCTTCTCTAAACCGTATCTTGAATGCTACTACTTCTGTGTTCATACAATACATGGACTTTTTACACTTAACATTTCCATTTGTGTCCAGTGATCTCCAGGCTCAAAGATACATATAGAGAAATAAAATCTGCAATGACTACTTGATGAATGAATAAGCAACTCACAGATGATAAAAATATATGGAGGGAGGGAGGAAGGGAGGGAGAGAGAGAGAGAGAGAGAGAGAGAGAGAGAGAGAGAGAGAACTGTAAAGCACAGCCACTCACCTGTCTGATAAATAGCCACCTATGATATGTCCTAAAAAAATGCCAAACATGAATATAAATTTAGCCACTGAATGCTGTGCCTGAGATCCACACACCAGGTCCCACTGAAAGAGAAGAAAAGCAGCATGACAGCCTATCAGTGTAATTTGTTCAAAATTCTTCAACATGAGCTTCCATTTACACTGTACCAGCCGCGTCTTCCTCTACAGTTTCCATTTTTATCGTCACCTGACTTCTACCATCAAGTCTCAGCTTAAACAAACCTGTTTCTGGGAATCTTCCTGTAATTTTGTAGGTTATATTAATGGCTTGTAAATTGTGCTAAGAAGTTCTCAAATGTCTAGGCAACGGTGGTGCACACCTTTAATTCCAGCACTTGGGAGGCAGAGGCAGGCAGATATCTAAGTTTGAGGCCAGCCTCCTGGTCTACAGAGCGAGTTCCAGAACAGCCAGGGCTACACAGAGAAACCCTGTGTCAAACTCCCCCCCCAAAAAAGGAGTTTTCAAATATGACTATATAATGCAATGATTTGAGATCTTGAAGAATTTGTTGGATCATGTGTGTCAGTGCGCAATCTCCCATATGACGACTTCAGGTGTGGAGACTGGGCACTGACTTTATTTATTTATTATTTTTGGCAATATTGGTGATGAACTGTAGGGCTTTTAACATTTGGAAAGTGTGCTAGCCATTAGCCACACTCTAGTCATAAAAGAAGGTAACATTTTTGGAGGGGATAGTGTTAGAGTTTGAATCCTCCACCTCACACATGCTACACAACCACTATAGCACAGAGCCACATTCCGAGCCAACCACTGTAGTTTTGTATAGGCTTCCAGATATCTTAAACTTGAAATTAAAGCTAAATGATACTGACTTGACATATTAATGAGATTCCACATGGATTATTCGCTTAAACTGACCTGGCACAAAAATTACTTCTTAAACAATGGTCATCCCTATAATAAAAGGACAAGGAGAATAAATTTTTAACATTTTCAAAGTGATCACCAGATGCATTAAATAATAAATGCAGAAATAATTACAGTGGCTAAAAGTAAAGACTATTCTCAAAACATGTGCACTATTTAGGCTACCAGTAAAAACGCACCATGAACTCTCAGTGGGGAAAGGGACTGACTGACCTGGGACACAGTGGTGGAGAGGAAGGTGCTCCTGTCATACACCCAGCCATCCACACAGGGCTCTGTGTCTGGCTCTGTCACATTGGGGAAGGTGCCATTCAGGTGAAGGAGATGCCATTGTGGTTGGACAAATCGACGACACTTGTCTGGCCTCAGGTTGGAGTCCAGTGGGATAGAGATCCTCAGGAGGTCATCTTGGCTCAGGATCCCACTGTCATTGTCAGAAACAGTGACATTGTCAAGGATGGGGACCCAGCAGCGGTGACCAGGGATGGCTGCAGTAAAGTTCTCCAAAAGACTGTGAGGACCCACAAAGCCATTGCAGATCAGAAGGAAAGCCATCTGAAGTAACTGGAACCTCCCTAGGCTGCCAGTGTGAATAAGAAGGTCCTGAAAGGCCATCTAGGCTGAATCCCTATCTCCAACGGGAGGCGACAATGATTATATCTAGATTTCTGAAAGTTCTTTTTCACTAAGACACACTAAAAAGGTTAATCCTGAACTCTTCTCCCTGTGCGCCTCTCCTGAGTCAGGCTTAGGTAGGGACCAAGAGGGATCATCTGATGATTTGCTTTAAGTAACTGAATCTGTTAAAGATCTACTTTGTGAGAAAATCTGTCAGTGGACTGCCCTGTCAGCTGTGGACAGTGATCTTCACATCTCTGAAAACAGGTGAGTTAACTTACAATCTCATGTAGTCCTTTACAGAATCCAAAGTAAAGTGGTTTTCTTTTTCTTTCTTTCTTTTTTTTTTCTGCTTCATGGGAGTAAATATTTTGTTTAGCATTGAGTTTGTATAAAAGAATTAGTGAAAATCATTAGAGGTTAAAATTTGGAATTGAAGTGTGGTTGTCCATGTCCCTACTACAACCGGGGACTGCATGATTGTCTGTGGCTCCTGTTACCACTACCACTGAGGGCTGTGCAATGCCCATGGTCTGGTCAGCCATCTGAGACCATGGCCTAGGCATATGAGAGCTGGCTCTGCCTCTCATCTGAGAGGGAGGTCCCAGTATCCCAGAATGACAAGCTCAGGTACCATCCAGGCCCACATCCTGGGCTTCGTCGCACCCTAACACCTACCTGTTCTACGACCCGTTGGAGCATGCGAAGGGACTGGTCCTACAGAACCATAGCTGCGGTATCTCCATGACTTGAGGCAATAGCAGGATATCCAGGAGTTTTCGTGAGGATCCAGTGATGATGGTGTCCCAGAGGCCAGAGGCCTTGAGCAAGACCAATGACTCATTGCAATGGGTGGGGCTGATTAGTATACTGAGTATACTGAGTCTTAGTTAGGGTTTCTATTGCTGTGAAAAGACACCATGACCAAGGCAACTCTTATAATGGAAAACATTTAATTGGGCGGGGGTGGAGGGTGGGGTTACATTTTCAGAAGTATAGTCCATTGTCATCATGGTGTGACATGGTGGCATGCAGGCAGACATGGTACTGTGGAGCTGCTACATTTTGATATGCAGGCAACAGGACGTGTGTAGTGGTATCTTGTTTCACCAGTGGACTTGTGGTGGTGGCTGCATCCTAGGGGCGTGGCTTCAGGTGTGCAGATGTGACCCCTTATAAGAAAGAGTAGGGGTTGGCTTGCTCTCTTGGGCAGTAGTCAGAGATCTGGAAAGGCAGAGACCACATCTTCAGGAGCAGGAAGACCACGGTAGTTATTTACCATTAAGTCTGTAAATAACTATTAGTGCTTCCCTAATAAATACCTATTAATCATTTATGTGAGCCTTGTGGACTCATTTAAACCCACCTTCAATTTGCACCCCACGTGGTTTGATTCCCATGATCAGCCCGAGCAGCTGGCTGTGGCATCCACGAGCCTGAGAAGCCCTGCCAGCTTCCCTGATTTCTCTTGGTCAGACAGCCCATCTGCGTAGTTTGATGCCACACATTTAGTGCAGCTTCCCCGACCCTGCCCAGAGCAGTGTGCACTCCCCTGGCCACTGATGCTCTTGGCAACCCGCCTGTGTGGCCCATTGCGCCCCCCTCAATTTCCCGGAGCTGCCAAGGGTTTTCTTCCTGCCCCCACATGCCTCTTTTGTGCACTGCACAGCATAGTGCCCTGTGTAGAGCCGTCTCTCTGCTTTCAGGCACCCACCACTGGGCACACCCCTCCATAGTTAAAGCTCAACCAAGTACAGCTGCCTACCTCTGCTGGCCCTTCAGCACCTGCTGCACTTGCAGGTTGCTTCCTTTCCTTTCTCCGTAACAAAATTCATTCAGTTTAGGTTTGTTGTGTGTTGTTTAGAAATTACGGATTGT